ACTTGTACACTTGAGTTTTCCTCATAGCACTGTCCTTGTTAGCTGTGTTCAACATCACAATAGTTCCTGCAGGTTTTTTCCCAAGCAGGAAACAAAATCTCACAGCTGCACGCTATTCTCTTAAATTGACCATCACAAAAAATGAAGGTCAAGCAAAACTGCTTGTACAAAAACATTCACTGTGCCCAGAGAGGACCTTCCCAGGTGACACCACTGAGTGCACTAACTCAGAGTGAATTGCTTGATGCTCACCTAGTGGGGAAAATGTGTATTATGAAAGCTCTGCTCCGGCCAGGGTAATTCTGGGGGTGTTGGTACCCAGTCATAAACCTGAAGGATTTGTGTAATCACCCATTACTGCATTCATCATTTCAGTTTTAGGTGCCCATAGAGTAGGTACTTTAACTGGATTTAGTAAATATTACATAGTAACTATCTATTAACATAATGGTTTCTGCAAACGTACTTGGGGAAGAGATAGGCAAGATTTCTGTATACAGATAATGGCCTTTTACATTGAATTATACTATAGGAACAATCTTTCACATTTCCACTTCATTACTATGCCATCTCTATTCCTTTTTCCCCCCAGAAAATTCTGGTTTTTTACATGAATAGAATTTTCCCCTAAGAATATTGAACTACCCAACAAGAATGTCTTTGATTGTACAAACTGGTCTCTCTGGCCTTCTCTGCCCTCCCTTTGACCCTGAGGCGCATCTTGTCTCTGAACAGAGGGAATTGAGAGTGGCATTCATTAGAGAATATCTTGTACTATTTGGGATGCAAGCTAACTATGTCTAAAGTATGTTGCTTTCATACACCTGACAGTTGTTTATTTTAAAAGTGTACAAGGACTCATGACTCGCGTTACTTTTGAAGCCTCCTGGATATGTTAGAAAGACTGTTTATCATCTCAAGAACTTCAAGTCAGTCCAAGTTCTTTGGCTAGATGAACTGTCTAGTAATTCTGTTTGCATTTGTGGCTTGTTTTTATGTTCTTGTTAGCTGTGCCAAAAAAGAAAGAAAAATAAAGAGAATGTTTCTTCTTTTCATTTTGATCCATCATACTAAATATGAGAACTTACTATATAAAAAAATACCCTAATTAGATTGTGGAATTATTTTTATTTAAAACATATAATACCATGTATGTTGAATGGACATTAAGTAGTTTCTCCTTTTTTTCCCTTCTGGGTAGTTTGAAGATGGTATTCTTGATGCATGCCTTTATGTGATGGACAGAGCAAAAATGGACCTCTCTGGTAGAGGGAATCCCATCAAAGTCAGCCGAGTTGGATCTACCATGGTAAGCAATAGCTAATGATTACTAAAATCTAGAACACCTCTCATTTGACTCAGTATTGACAATACTTCATTAGGCTATTAAAACTGTGACTAACACTTAAACTTTGATTTTTAGGATTTCAGATAATGACATACAGTTTAGCTTTTGGAATTTCCTAAGCTTATGATGTGCTGAAGAACAGAAAATGTTTCTCCACGCTGCATGTTTCTTTGGCATTAAACAAATGGTGATCAATAATATGATGCTACAGATCTATTATTAATTTTTTTCCTTGTTCATTATCCAACTTTCTTTTTTAAATGTTTTATAGGGGGCTCTTACAGTTCTTATAACAATCCATACATACATCCACTGGGTCAAGCACATTTGCACATATGTTGCCATCATCATTTACAGAACATTTTCTTTCTACTTGAGCCCTTGGTATTGGTTCCACTTTGTTCCCTCCCTCCACCCCCCACCCCCCTCTCACCCTTGGAGACATATTGTTTTTAAAAGATTATTTTCAAGCCTTTAAGTCCCCAGACACTATAGGTCTCGATAGCTGGGCACCATCAGCCTTCTTCACCACACTTATGCACACATTCGTCTTCAGCGTTTATGTGTGGAAAGTGGTCACACAATGATGGTTTTTGTTCTTTGGTGTCTGCTGCCTGTTCCCTTCAAC